AAGTAGTCTGCATCACAGACGGTCGGACCGAGGTACAAGGTCGAGGTCGGTTCGGGGAGGGTGCCCTGATGTTCTTCGTGTTTGCCGGCTGCTCTTGTGCATCCTGGGGGCCTCGAGTGCTCCTCGGTTTGGCCAGCGGACGGTCTCAGGTTGTTGACGGAGATTATTATGTCCTAGGTCCGGCCGTATTTTGCACCGCATAGCTTACACCGCATAGCGTGCACCACGTAGATGCGCACCACAGAACTTAAATTACATAGCTTGCACCATACTGGTTGCACCTGCTTGCTTCCACCACCACATCCATTAACACCACGTGGCAGCCTCGCGGCCGCCTTCTGCGCTGGGTGTGTCTGGCGAGGGTTCGCCATGCTGCCAGCGTGGCCGCGTCGTGGTCGCATCATCCGCCCGGTCCGTTTCGTGACCGCCTCGTGCGCTGGGTGGATCCAGCTCGGTTTCGCCACGTTGCCGCCCGCGGGCGCCTCGAGGGCGCCCCGTACGCTGGGTAGGTCCGCCGAGGTTTCGCCACGTTGCCGCCCGCGGGTGCCTCGTGGGCGCCCCGTGCGCTGGGTGCGCCGAGGTTTCGCCACGTTGCCACCCGTGGGTTCTTCTCGTGGGGGCCCAGTGCGTACACCACATGGCTCACACCACAAGACTGTACCGCATAGCTTACACCGTAGAGCTCGTACCACGTATACAGCACCACACAGTTTACATAACATAGCTCGCGCATCAGAGCTTGCTCCACATAGCTTGCACCATATTTATACATATATATATATAGATGTATAGATATATATGTATGTATTGCACTTGGCATCGCCACATGGATTCTCCTTTCTAAAACATTAATAGATTATACTTCTTGTCCCCCCCGGACTTCTCGGCTCCCCCTGGGATAGTATGATTTCACATATATATATATGTATATACATATATATATATATATGTATGTATATGTGTGTATATATATACATATTCTGCACACTCGTCCATCATAAATATGAAATCATACCATCCCAGCCAAACCGGGTTCCCCCCCTGAGGTTCCCTTGTAAAAAACACGATGCGGTGACATTGTTGGTTCTAACATAACATTGTTTCACGAATCCCTGGCAAAAAATGAGACGAAGTGCACACGCGCGCGTCGTCGCGCGCGCATGCCGAAATCCTTCAAAAACCTTCGCAATCGAGTTTCCAAAAAACATATAAAAACACAGGGTGTCGCAGCACAGAGTTGCTAAAACAGCTTCTGCGAAAGCTCTTGCGAAATCTTAAGAAAGCCATACGTTTTTTCAATATTTTCACAACATGCTACCAAACGGGCTTCGCGCGCGCTCATGTCGAAATCTGTCGAACGCCCTTGCGCGTGTGCCGTCGCGAGAATCCCCTGCAAAAAGATAGGACGAAGTGCAGACGCGCGCGTCGTCGCGCGCATACGCCGAAAACCTTCAACACCCATCGGTTTCGGAAGGATTTCAAAATCGTGTGTCCAAAAACATACAAACAGACAAGGTTTCGCAACACGGATTTTCAACAAAAGCGTGCGCGCGCGCTCTTGCGTCGTCGTCGTCGTCGCCGTCCTCCCTCCTCCCGCGTCGTTGTCGTCGTCGTCGTCGTCGCCTACGTCGTCCTCTGTCTTTCCTCGTGTTCGTCGTCGTCGTCCTCTTTGGCGTCGTGGTCGTTTCCGTCGTCGTTGTCGCCGTGGTCGTCCGTCCTCCTCCTCCCTCGTCGTCGTCGTCGTCCGTCGTCGGCGTCTCGTCGTCGCCCCTCCTATTTCGTCGCCGTCGTCGTCGTCGTCGTCGTCGTCGTCGTCGTCGTCGTCTTCCCTCCTCCCTCGTCGTTGCCGTCGTCGGCGTCGCCGTCCTTCCTCCTTCTTCGTCGTTCGCGTCGTCGCTGTCCTCTCTCCTCCCTCGTCGTTGTCGTCGTTGTCGCCGTCGTCGTCCTCTCTCCTTCCTCGTTGTCTTCGTTGGCGACGTCGTCGTCGTCTTCGTCGTCGTCGTCGGCGTCGGTCGTCGTCGTCTTCGTCGTCGTCGACGTCGGCGTCGTCGTCGTCGCCGTCGTCGTCGTCGTCGTCGTCGTCGTCGTCGGCGTCGTTGACGTCGTCGTCGTCGTCGTCGTCGGTGTCGTCGTTATCGTCGTCGTCGGCGTCGTCATCGTCGTCGTCGTTGTCATCGTCGTCGTCGTTGTCCTCGTCGTCGTCGTCGGCGTCGTTGTCGTGCTCGTCGTCGTCGTCGGTGTCGTCGTCGTCGTTGTCGGCGTCGTCGAAGTCGTTGGAGACGTCGTCGGTGTCGTCGTAGTCGTTGTCGGCGGCGTCGTCATCGTCGTTGTCGCTGTCGTCGTCGGCGTCGCTGTAGTTGCCAAGTGCCATGTGGTACCCACCGTCACGGTCTTAAGAAATTTTGCAAGCCAAGTTGCGGGTGGGTGGGTGGGATGTTTGCGCGAGCAGTGGAGTGGACAACTCACTGCGAACAGAAATTAATTGCACCACATAGATGGTACTCTGCAGCCTTCACACCATCGATCGCAACACGCGTTATGAGCTGCACTTTCGGATGCATCGCGCTTCCTCGCCAGCCCATGTAGAAAAGAGGCTCTGGAGAGTAGTTTGGATTAGCAGGCTGCGCGTTGTGTCGTAGTGTGTCGCAGCTATCAGCGCAGCATCGCCGAGCTAACTGTCACCATGCACTACTCACGGTCGCACTGCCTGCAGCAGCGCAAATAGTTCCCATACCCCATCGCACGCACGACCTTGTATAATGTGGAATGGTACAGTACTACTTCTTGTTCAGCGCAGCATGGAACATGATACCGGAGAACACCCCCAATCATAATCTTGTTAGAGCTATTAGGTGATAGGCGTATAGAGTTATAGGGCAATAGGGCCATTGGGCGATAGAGCTATAAGACTATTATGCAATAGGGCTATAGGGCTATTGGTCTAGCTATAGGGCGATTGGGCGATAGGGCTATAGGGATATATGGTTATAAGGCTGTACGGCTATACGGCTATAGGGTTATAGGGCTATAGGCCATATAGAGGTATAGGGCTGTAAGGCTCTAGGGCTATAGGACGATGGGGCTATAGGGTTATAAGGCTATAAGGCTATAGGGCTATTAGGGCTATAGGGCTATTAGGGCTGTAGGGCTATTTGTGCTATAGGGCTATAGAGCTATTCGGCTACAGGGCTATAGGGCTATTAGGGCTATAGGGCTATTAGGGCTGTAGGGCTATTTGTGCTATAGGGCTATAGAGCTATTCGGCTACAGGGCTATAGGGCTATTGGGCTATGGGGCTATAGGGCTATACGGCTATCGGGCTGTAAGGCACCCGGGCACCCGGGCACCCGGGAAAATTCCCAACGCACCCTGGGCCGTTGAACACCCGGGCACCCGGGAAAATTCCCAACGCACCTCACCTAACCTTATGAATCCGCTAGGACCCCTACAGAGGCAAGCACAGCACAGCAACACAGACAATGTATCATATCGTTGCGCATCATAGCCTTGCGCACCATTGCAGAGTATGGCATAGCAGGGGATCTACTTGTGGCCTTCGGCCCATCCCGACACCGTGCCTGGGTCGTGGACAAGTGGCCTCTCAGAGGCCTCCTGTGGGCCTGGTGGGCCCCCTGTTTTGGGTGCTCCTGGGGGCCTCTTTGGGCTCCTCTCGGTAGGCCCCGGGGCCTCCTTGGAAGTGCGGCCTCCAGCGGTGCGTCGGTTGCGCGCGCTTCTCCTTGCGAAGCCCACGGCATTCCCCGTTGGGAAGCCGGGCCGCGTATTTCGCGATTGAAGGGGGGGAGGAGGAGGGGGAGGGGGAGGAAGAGGACGACGCCGACGAAGAAGCCTGAGATTCTCTTCGGAAGGCCTTCGGGGTACTCTGGGTGGCAGCTTGGAGGCCTCTTGGGATCCTGTTGGGGGGGGTGGCCTTGAGCTCCGATCGACCGTTCAATAAGGTGGCCCCGGGGCGTCATGCGTCATCGTGTGGCCCGGCCAGGCGGGGCGGCCTTGAGCCCCGACGCCCCATTGGACACTGGTGGCACCGTTGTCGAGCGAGCAATCGGGGGCCCAGCCTGGGGAGGGGTGAGGGCGCCCCGATCGCCTCTTCCGAGGAACTCGACTGCACGGAAGAGTGGCCTCTCGCCGGGGAGATTTCTGGTGCGGGCCCAACGGGGGGCCCCCCGATCGCCGCGCGCGGCGCGGTGGCAGCGGCCTGCGCGCCTGCGTCTGGCCCCCGCAGGGCCTGCGTGCGGCCGGAGAGTGGGTCTCTCCGTGGTCGCGAGGGGCCCTCGGCGTGGCGGGGGAGTGCTCCCTCGAAGCGGATCCCAGGTGCCAGGGGGGCACGTCGAGGGGCGGGGCCGGGGCAGGGGAACGAATGGAGCTGCGAGCTTCTTGCCCGAGGTCGGATCGGCAATCTGAGGGTGCCGTGCAGGGGAAGGGGGCTCCGATTGCCCGTTTGCCGGCGGGGGACCCCATGATCAAGCTGGGCAATCGGCAATCAGGTTCATTGCTGCCGTTGGCGGCCCAGTGGGAATGCGGGGCCACTGCCACAATGGCGATTGGCGGGGCAGAAGTCCTACCTGCTCCCACTTGCCAATTTGACAGAAAGGGCTCATTGCCAGATGGGACAACTTCACTAACCGCATCCCCCGGATAATACAGCATCCCGCCTTTTCCCATTCTATCTGATCCACCGGAATGAATGTGGTTCAAGTGAAAGAACAGGCGAGGAGGCCGAACTTTATTATCCCCTCCAAAGTTCATATCGTAGCTCTCATTGTGAAGATGTCTCAGGCGAAACGCCATCCACACATCCCAACATCCATATCTCCGGGAAACAGTTGAGTCTTCCGCCTGGACCCCGCATTGTACTATCCCCAGGGGGTTGTTCTCATCAAGTTACGGTTAAGTATTTGTTGCTGCAATTTCCCGCTCCGCTTGCCGGAAGAGTAAGAGGGATAATAATCTCACATGCCAGTGACACCAAGGGGTCGGCAGAGTTTGTTATCGTGCAGGCCTTGATGGCCAGCACCGAGGCAAAACCAGATGTTGCGGAGACCCCGTTGGTGGACCACGAAGGTCCATACCGAGATCGTGTGTTCACTCGGACGGGCCATTATTTCATCATTGGCACCATGTGTGGGCTAGTTGGAGGGGCTTTTACTGTGTTTGTCACACTTTATTATCACATGAATGGCTTTGGCTCGGACGTAGATTGGAGTCTGAATGTTCGAGGGGAGCCATTCCCGTCTGGGAACCATTATATGCCAGCGAGTATCAGTTTCAGTGTCGCAGACACGTCCTCAGCGGGTGGAAAGGTATTTCTTGCTTTCATGGTTGCCTATGCTATGATGACCTTGGCGTCTTTATACCCGTTCGAGTACGCAAATGTCTTTGTACATGAGGATGTGTCGTTGTTTCCGTGTTGGGCTCCAAGGACTTGTTGGCCTTCCATGAACACGTGGAGGGCGTACGTTCCACCACTTGGGATGCTCCTGGTGGCATTTGACCATGCGTCTACCGTCAATTTGTACAATTCTGCCCAGACGGCAGCAAGTATCTTTCATACTGGTGGCGCAGTGGCATGGCTGGCAGTTCCGCTTTACATTGAGATATATACGCTAGAGTGGGCAAAAGACGTGAAGATCGGCCGTCTGGAAAAAGAGCTACGCACCGGTTGTGTCATCCTTGCCGTGAGTTGTGCCATTTTGTACGGGTTCTTCGGAAACACTTCACCCGAATCATTTGGCGTTTGTTGTGGTGATGTATGGCGGTATGTGACTCAGGAAGATGTCGACATGGCCAACATGAATGGGGCGTATGCAGTTGTACAAGTAGATTTGAAGCTCATGCAGTATGCAAAGTTTCAGAACTTTCCACCGCCAACCAATCAGGGCTTGTACGACACGGCTAGTGGAATGGGCCTTGCGTGGAAGTATGTCGGTTTCTTGGGTGAGGCAGGGGCTGGTTTCTTCTTTTTGCTCAATGGGCTTGTCATATGGTATTTTAGCAGTCCTCTTTCGGCGGAAGCTAATACGTCAATGCACGTTGCCAACCAAGTTGCAGAGTGAGCGGGCATGCTTGTCTGGGGTTGAGCCAAGGCGATGAAGACGCAGCGGTTGGTTAGCACGAACAGCGCTGCGCCGTCCAAAGGAGCGGGTCCTTTTTGTGGATTCGTGGCTTGCCTCCTCGATCATGTCAGTACCAGTGCCCAGTTCGGTTACCAATGTGGCCAGAGCGTCACAGCTTCGGTCTCGGCCGTTGGAAACAGCGAAGTCGCCCCGAATGACTCAGCAACGGCTGCTAAACCAATGCCGCGTGAAAAGCACATTGATACCGTCATTGATTTTGCATTAAGTGCGATACAAGAAACCTTGTGTGTGTGACTCGCCTCGTCACGTGAGTTAGTGCATTGCACATTCGCATGACCATCATCATTGATTTACACGAAGAATTTCGCCATTCGCCGCTGGCCCACCCTCAGATTGCTTGCACGGCCGCGCCTGATCGGTAGGTTGGTTGTTTGTTTGCCTGTCGGCTGGTTAACAAGTCGGTTGGTTGGCTCGGTGTCTCAATCGATGGTTGGTAGTTGGTTTGGGCTGTCTGTTGGTTGGCTGCGCGCGCGTTTGTAGCCATTCGTGAGAGATAGTGGCCTCGAGAGCGCAGTTCCATTGTGATTTACGACTGCGAAGATTCGCAGCTTCAAGAGCGTGCGCCCCTAGCTATTTTATGAAATTCGCTGCCTCGGATGGGGAGCAGAATTCATCGAATGGGTTGTAGCCTCTGGGGCGCGAACGCGTTGCTGGAGGTTGTGGCCAGGGGCTCGCGAACCTACTATACCTTAGCAGAGACAGTGGCCGTGGGAGCGCGAGCGCGTTGTAATTTACGAGGGTGTGTGTGTGCCTTGGGAACGCTAGCGCGTTGTCATGCACGGCGAATTGCGGCCTCGGGTTCGCGAAGCCGCCACATTTTACGAAGAAGTTGCTTCATCAGGGGCGAGAGCGCGACGCAATTTACGACAGGTGTGGCTTCGGGAACGCGAAATCGCTGTATTTAACATAGTGCTATGACTTTGTAAAGAGCGCGCTCTGTTGGCGCTTCCCCCGAGGAGGAAACAGAGAAGAAAGAGGAGTGGAGAAAAGGAGTGGAGCAACGAGAGCGGCTCCTTTTTCAAGCCCTGGGCCGACTGCGCCCCACCCCCATCCAGTTGGGAGCTTCGAACCCCCCCCCCTCCAGGAGGAGGAGGAGGAGGAGGAGGAGGAGGAGGAGGCGAGGAGGAGGAGGAGGAGGAGGAGGAGGAGGAGGAGGAGGAGGAGGAGGGGGAGGAGGGGGGGGGACGCGCTCAGAACACGAAGTGCCTCCCGTGATGACGTCCACCCCGGTCTCCCTGGGCCGCGTGCGCCCCCCTTCCCATGCCTGCGCCGGCGCCGGCGCTGGCCCCCCTCCCCCTCACGACTACGGCGCCCGCGCCGGTGGCGGCTGTCGGCGACCTCGGGGTCGTCGCGGTCGCCGGCAAGCGGCGCAAGCACCCCGTGGCCCCGGCGCGGGTGCAGATGGCCTGCGGCCGCTTTGCGAGCATCCGCCGCCTGCCCGTGCCTTTCCGCTGGCGGTGTCTGCTGGGAGCGTCCGCCGGCACGGCCGCGGGCACCTACGGTTCTTTCTGCGGCCGCCCGGCCGCGAGCGAGCTGGAGCGGCTGCGCCGCGCTGCCAAGGCTGCCACCGGCCATGGGCCCCGGGCAGCCGCCGAGATCGTTTTCGGCGTGCTCAGCCCCACGTGGCGCCTGGACCCCAAGGCAGCGGTGGTCGTCGCGCCGGTGCTGCAAGCTTCGCGGGCGCTCCCGGCTGGCCAGCTGGACCTCGCCGTGTGGCGCAACACCTCGGCTGCTGTCCGCGCCGGAGCTGGGCGCGCCGTCGGGCCGGTGGCCGCTGCCTTGCGCAGCTTGCGCGAGCTGGGCCTGGGCGACGACGTGGAGAGCTGGGTGGGCGTGCCGTCTGCGCCGCACGGCTGGTGCCCTGCAGAGCGGTCGCGGCGATCCACTGAACGCGTGGTGATGGCGGCGTGGCACCGGGCGGAGTGCTGCAAGCTCGCGTCTCGCCGGCCGTGTTTTGCCCACTTGGCCAGCGGCGTGGACAGGTGGGCGACGCGCCGCCTGCTTGCCACCGACGCCCTGTCTCCCGAGGCCGCTAGTGCCTTGCGCAGCGTCATGTGCGGCAGCGTCGTCACCGAGGCCATCGCGGCGAAGTGGAACGGCAATGCTGGCACTTGCCCGCGCTGCGGGCTGGCCCCCGAGGACCTCGAGCATCGCCTGCGACTGTGCCCTGCCTGGGAGGGCCCCCGCCGCGCCGCGCTGGCCGCAGCGCCGCGGACCGAGACGCTGCCCAGTGACGCCGGGGCTCTGCGGCAGCTGCTGCCGGCCGGGATCGCCTCCACTGGAGTCCTCGCGCCGCCGCCGTTGCTCGCCGCCCTTGCAGAGGCAGCAGGGAGCGAGCGCCCGCAGCTTCCACCCCAGGCCGCGCGGCTCCCTGAGGCGCCCCGCCGGACGGTGTGGAGCGACGGGGCCTGCCTCCACCCTACTGACCCGCTGCTGGCGCGCGCGGCATGGGGCCTGCGGTGCGAGGGCCTCGAGGACCCGAATCTCGCCGGACCGGTCGACGGTCTGCTGACGGCACAGCGGGCCGAGGTGATAGCCGCCGTGGCGGCGGCCCGTATCGCCGGGGGCCCCGTCGACCTCGCTACAGACAGCCAGTACGTCGTGCGGTCTTGCGCCCAGATCGTAGCTGGCTCCGACGTGCGTGACTGGGAGCACGCCGACTTGTGGCTGCAGCTGGCGGACGCCGTGCGCTCCGGGCGGCTGCGGGCCCGCTGGGTCCCAGCCCACAAGACGCCGGCTGAGGCGCGGCGCTTGCATGGGCCTGAGCGAGCGCGACCGCCTCGGCAACGCCGCGGCTGACAGCAACGCCGGCGCCGCCGCGGCGCAGCGGGCAGTGCCAGGCGAGCTGGTGCGCGGCCGCCTCAGGGAGCTGGAACTGCTGGAAGCGGCGCAGCGGGTGCAAGCGGCTGCCCAGCAAGCGGCCTTGGCCGCCGCGCCAGCGCGCCAGCGCCGCGGCCGGCGTATCTGGCGGGCTGTCCGCCGCGGGGCTCGCACTCGCGCGGCGTCCGCCCCAGCGGGCCCCGCCCTGCCCGGCCACGCCCGCGCGGCTCCGCCGGCTGCCCGGCCGCGCCAGAGTGGCAGCGCCGAGCCCGTCAGCGCTGGCGCCATGCTGGCGGCATTCTTCTCGGGGCGCTCGTGGTGGCCGCACTCCCTCGCACAAGGTCCCGGATCCGTTTGTTGCCTCCGCTGCGGTGGCAGCGCCGGGACCGCGGCGGCCATGCTGGGAGGCTCCAGGCTGGCAGGGCCGGCTGCCAGCGCGGGGGCAGGCGCTGTTGCTCCTCGGCAACCTGTGCTGCGTTGGGGGCAACGCAGCTGAATTCGCTGCCTTAGCCGCGCGCCGCATCGCGCAGCTGCCCAAGGTGCCCGATTAGGTCGGCACCGTACTGGGGCGCCGGCGGCCGCGCCGTTTCGCCCTCTGTCCGCGAGTCAAAAAAAAACGCGCCCCCTTCTCATGCCTGCGTTGGCGCCGGCGCTAGCCCCCCTCCCCCTCACGACGACGGCGCCCGCGCCGGTGGCGGCTGTCGGCGGCGGCGGGGAGCGCCGACGAGGACGACGATCCAGGGGCGGGAGGGGGGGTTCGAACCCCCTCCCCGCCTCTCTCCGCGCTGGCGACGACGCCGACGCCGGATGGCGGCGGCGGCGGCGGCGGCGCTGGCGAGCACGACGGCGACGACGACGACGACGACAACGTGCACGACGACGACGACGGCGACCACGGCGACGACGACGATAACGACGTCGCCGACGGCGACCACGACGAGAACGGCGACCACGACGACGACGACGGCGGCGACGACGACGACGATGACGACAAGCACGACGATGACGACGAAGACGACGGCGACGACGATGACGACGATGACGGCGACGACGGCGGCGACGACGACGACGACGACGGCGACGACGACGACAGCGAAAACGACGACGACGACGAGTCACGGCGACAAAGACGACGAAGACGACGACGGGGACGACGACGGCCGCGACGACGGCGAGGACGAAAACGACGATGACGATGACGAAGACGACGACGACAACGAAAACGATGACAGCGACAACGTCTGCGACGACACAACGACGATTGCGACGACGACGACGGCGACGACGACGGCGACGACGGCGACGACGACGAGGACAACGAGAACGACCACGATGACGACGACGACGACGGCTACCACGACGACGACGACGGCGACCGCGACAGTGGCGACAACGACGACGACGAGCACGACGACGACGGCGACGGTGACGACGGCGACGACGGCGGCGACGACGACGACGATGACGACGGCAACCATGGCGACGACGACGACGACGACAACGACGACGACGGCGAAAACGACGACGACGACAAGCACGATGATGACGACGGCGACAAAGACGACGATGGCGACGACGACGACGACGACGACGACTGCGACGACGACCACCACGAGGAGAAGGACGACGACGACGACGATTGCGCCGACGTCGACGGCGACGACGGCGACGACGACGTCGGCCACGACGACGGCGACGACGACGACGACGACGACGGCGACGACGAAGACGACGACGACAACGGAGACGTCGACAGCGACTACGACGGCGACGACGACGACAACGACGATTGCGACGACGACGACGGCGACGAGGACGACCGCGACGACGACGACGACAACGACGACAACGACGACGACGAGCACGACGACGACGATGGCGACGACGACGAAGACGACGACGGGGACGACGACGACGACGGCGGCGACGACGAGGACAACGACGACGACCGACAGCGCCACGACGACGAGAAGCACGAGGGCAAGGACGTCGACGACGACGACGACGACGACGTCGACGACGACGGCGACGGCGGCGACGACGACGACGACGGCGGCGACGACGACGACGACCGACGGCGACGACGACCACGACGAGCACGAGAACAAGGACGGCGACGACGGGGACGACGGCGACGACGGCGACGCCGACGACGACGTTGACGACGACCGTCAACGACGGCGACGGCGACGGCCACGGCCACGACGGCGACGACGAGCATGACGACGACGACGACCACGACCACGACCACGACGACCACGACGACAACGACGACGATGATGACGACAACGACACCTACGACTGCGACGACGACGACGGCGACGACGACGCTGGCGTTCGTGACCACGACGGCGATAACGGCGACGACGGCGACGACGATGACGACGATGACGGCGGCGACGACGGCGGCGACGACGACGACGGCGACAACGATGGCGACGGCCACGGCGGCGACGACGAGCATGACGTTCACGACGACGACCACGACCATGACCACGACGGCCACGACGACCACGACGACGACGACAACGACAACTACGACTGCTACGGCGACGACGGCGACGACGACATCGGCGATGGTGAGCACGACGACGACGACGACGGAAACTGCGTGAAACTCGCGTCGCCCCGTCAGTATTCCGAGACTCAGGACCGAGGACAGGGGACTGCAAGGGACATTGTCGTCGTCGTCGTCTTCGTCCTGGTCATCGTCGCCGCCGTCGGCGCTGCCAGCCGCGGCCGCTGCCGCCGCGGCCGCCGGCGTGCTGTCGCCGGCGCCAGGTGGCGAGGGGGTTCGGGGAAGGGGGGGGGGAGTCCACTTGGGTTTGTTCGACGGTGCCGGATGTTGGGGGGCGGGGGATCCCCGATTCAAACGGGCCGCCGAATGTTCCCAAGGCAAGCGCCCGTGTAACGGCCCCTTCTGATTTTGGGAGCACCA